CTGCTCTGGAAAATCTAGGCTAAAGCAACATATTTCTGTTGGCACATAGGTCTGTAATCATCTCACTTCCAAATTCACTGGCAGATAGGATTCTTTCCATTCTTCCATCCTATTTTGATAATAAAATTTCAAAGTCTGGAAGGAATATAATCTTAACGTAGATACCAACATATGTGGCCTACCTTTTAAACAGTTACAGGAATGTAACTGAGATACCGAAAGAGCCCCGGTGGCACAGTAGGTTAAGCACCAGTATATGAATTGAAAGGTCAGTGGTTCAAGCTCACCAGCTGCTCTGTAGGAGGAAAAATTAAGCTGTCTGCCCTTGTGAAGATTTAAATCCTCAGAAATCTATCAGAACCATTTTACTCAGTCCTCTAAGAAAGATGCCTAAGGAGCCCTGGTGCGTAGTGGTAACGTTTTGGGGCTGTGATCTGCAAGGTTGGCAGTTCAAAACCACCAGCTGCTCCAAAAGAAACAGACAGGAGTTTTGACTCCTGTAAAGAGTTACAATCTCAGAAACTCACAGGGGCAGTTAAGACTTCATGCCTCCATGCCTCCAAAAATTAGTGTCAGGTTAAGGTATCTCAAATACCATACTAGTCTCATCAAAATTTAACAAACATTTCAAAGAACTCTTTCCAATCTGCATTCTAAGTCCAAAGACCTCAGTCTAGCATTCCGAAACCTCCATCACCTGAAGTTCTGGCCAAATTTTCCTTCATAGACCTGGCCCTACATCTGACTGAATTTATTCTTGCTTTCTGGGCTTTTTCTTCTCAAATACTTTCATCTTTATCCATCAAAACGTTTGACTTGCTTCAAGTCTCATCTTCCCCAACTGTGTAACAAGTCACAGTTCTTCAGGCCCAGCATTTCCTTGCTTTTAAAGAGGCACAGTATTCATGGACAATATTCTTGAGTTTGTGAGCCAATCTGTTACTAAGCTACAACGGGACTTCAAGGGATAGTTTCAGTTCAAGGTTTAAGAGAGCATCACCTCAGAGTAACAGTCTCAGGGAGCCCTCTAGTCTCAACTAGTCCAGAAGTTTTGTTTGTTTCCTTTGTGGTTGTTTTTACTCCTTATCTTCTTGCTGTTGTTTTTAAAGACGTTACAAATCTCCACGCATTTTCTACCCCTTCTAGTTCCTATGCGCTTACTGCGACCTCCAGTGGGATGGTTGGTGGGGTAATTAGGCACTGTCTGGTTCTTCTGTATCACGATAGAAGAGACCTTGGTCCTTGTCGATTGTCGGACTCGTAGCCTCGAGTCTCCTTTCTCTTCCCTCCAGACAAATAGTCCTCCAGACTAAAGGCTGTGTCTTAGATGGCTGCTTGCAAGTTTCCAAGACTTCAGACATTATTGAAGGATATAATGCAACAGACTGAGTTGTTCTATGAGACTACGGTCCTGAAAACCAACCCTGCAAGGTGTTTGGTTATATCTATGTAGTATCCCAAACTGTGCCTGTTTCCTCCTATCCCACCGTGTGCTTTACACACACACACACACACACACACACACACACACGCATAAAGACACATATATACCCATCTATATACACATGTGCATATATGTATGCACATTCATTTATGCATATACATACTTTATATGAGGGTGCCTCAAAATATTTGAGGAAAATTTCATGATCTTTTAATGCCATTTTCCATAAACTTTTTAAAGTTCCTCATATAGCTCACATATTGTTTTTGATTCTTGTTGCAGATTGATATATGTCAAAGCAATTATATAAGGATCTCTTTTGGTCCGTTGGTTTTGTACTGGTTACAAATGGGTTTCTGTGGGCCTTTTACTCCTAGATGGTTTTTTAAACTCCATCCATGAATGGTAGAGATTGTGCCTTATAAAATGTTTTCTACCTACACAATGCAAAAAAAACACAACACCTTGCATAAGAAAATGCTCTAGCATAATAAAATATACAGGGACTACAGAGCCTGGAAGATCCGATATGCCTTATTTCTGCTTATTAGTTACATGACTTTATGCAAATTGCTTCAAATTTTATAGCTGTAAAATGGGGATACAATTTCTACCTTCGATGGGTAAAAATATATAAAATCACCAAGGAGAGATGAAAGCATGTTGTCTGCTTTCCATACATGGCAGCTACATTATGACAGTTTTATCCTAAACAATAAACTGCTTGAGGAAGGAATTTAGCTCCAAAGTTCCTTAGTCTCTTTCTGGCACTCACAAGAACTGAACATATTAATGTAGTCAGCCCAGGATGGCTCGCAAACCTTGAGGTCTGCAGGCAGTGATTTTTGGTACACAAGCCACTACCTTAAAGCAGGGGGCCATCTGGGGCATATGATATCATCATATCACCCAGATTGTCTCCTTGGGCTTCTCTTTCACACTCATTTCCTGTTGGAAACTAGGTATTTGAACCTTTGATTTCCCCACTTTCCTGGAGAATGGATCCTATGCCCCATCCTCCCTATGCCCCAGGGCCCAAAGCCCTGCTTTCGTAACTCCAACCTGGATCAAAGGTTATGAAACCACATTAACCTCCCTTACAAGTCAGAAGCCATGAACTACGAGTGCCCTAAATCTCTGGCTGGTTTACAGCCCAGCCCCGGTGCTACCCAATCCCTTTCCCCATGACTCAAGTCAGTATGCCTCCAAAGTACCTGTCCCGAAACTAGCAAGGGGGGTATCTAGGTCTTACTTGGCTGCCTGCCTTTTTTCCAAGAGAAAAGCTTAACTCGGCACCACCCTCACAATTAAGAACTTTTGTACTCTAGACCATAATCCAGGAGAAGTGTAATCTGCTTTTGTAGTTCTCCTGAGTTAGTCCATAGGAGAGGAGCCCTGGTGGCACAGCGCTTATGTGGTGGGCTGCTAACTGCAAGGTCAGCAGCTCAAAACCACTAGCTGCTCCTTGGGGGAAAACATGGGGCTTTCTACTCCCATAAAAAGTTAGCATTGGAAACTCACAATGGTAGTTCTACCCTGTCCTATAGGGTCACTCTGAGTCAGCATGGATGGTATTAAGAGTGAGTTTCAATCAGTCCAGCACCCACTAGGGGTCGGTTTGGCCCAATTTGGGAAACACTGATCCAGATGGCTTTTATGGTCCCTTTTATGTGTCTATTAACTTCATGAAATTGTATTTATATCTTTTTCTCTACATAGATCTTTCTAAAGTCATTGGCATAGCACTAAAATAGTAAGTACCACAGAATCAAGGCTGAATTAAAAATGTTTGCTAAAAGACATTTTAACTATTTTAAGAGACTTGGGAAGGTGCTGGTAGTAGGAATACAAGGAAAATGAGCGGATCATCTGGCCATATATATTGCTCCTCATTGTTTTATGTGTAGTGAAAAAAAACCCAATTCCCACAAATCAAGTAAAAAGTAGCAAAGTTAAACTTACTCTTCCAGGCACCAGAGGGATGGTGGCTTCAGCCTTGGTTCTCTCAGCTTCATCGTAACTGGGCAGTGTGGTAGCCACATTGTAAGACGGGGGCTTCGGAAACCCAGACTCATCTTTGTAGTCAAAATATGCTGCAGAATAAAGATGAGGTCACATTACCTGATAAACAGTTGAAATGAATACAAGGGTTTCCACTAACCCTAGAAAACAAACCTAGACATTCACCAAGGGTACATATAGAATAATGGAACCAAAAAAGATGGTTCAAGATGAATATAAAAGACTAAAAGTAGTTTTGAAATTTATCCACTTCTCAATTATTTAAATTCCAGGCTCACTTGTTACCCCCTGCTTTCCTACTGCTGCTGAGAGTTTTCAGTATTCATGCAATAAATATCCAGAAAAGGCATCCAATATTATACTGGCACAAGGGAAATCTTTCAGAAGGTTAAGTATCCGTCATATATATGTTTTTGTATTCTATGGTTTCCTCTCATTTATGGAAATAAAAATTGATTCTTTAAAAGGAAAACCCTCATTTACCCATATTTAATCTTTTGTTTCTCCTCTTTTTGACATTATATCTTCATTCTGGTTGATCTCTATTATGAATGATTTTATTTTTGTTTATAGAAAAGGTCTATTTACAGATACATTCGTTTCCTATGTTTTTTTTTTAGACACTTTAAGACTTTTTTAAAAACTTCATCAAGATTAACATTTTACTCTTCAGTTAATTATAGCTGACTTTCAAATTTTCTATTGTAAAACACTGTCAAAGTTTTCCATGTTTGTAATTTACCTCATTAACAGAAAGAAAAATCTTGACACAGGTAGAAAAAGCATTTGATAAAATCTTACAAATAAAGAAAATAGAAAAGACATCCACAATCACCAGAAGAAAGGATACTAAAAATCAGTGAAGAAATAAATGAGATAGAAAACTGAAAAGATAATAGAAAGAACTAACAAGACAAATTAGTTCTATGAGAAGATCAATAAGGTTGACCAAGCCATCGGTCAATTTGACAATGTTGAGCAAATGTAAATAACCAAAATAAGAATCAAGAGGGTGGACATTGTGACAGATTCAACGGAGATAAAAAGGATCATAACAGAATGCTATTCAAAACTATATTATTAACAAATTTGAAAACCTAGACAAAATGGACAATTTCTAGAAACATACCATGTTCCCTTGACTAACACAGATGGAGATGAAAATTTTCAACAGACCACAACAAAATAATAAATTGAAGAGATCATAAAGAAAAAATAGACTCCCAACAAAAAAGGTCCTGGAGAATACTATGGAACACTCAGAAGAGCTGACACCAATTCTACTCAAACTCTTCCGGACCAGAGATAAGGAAGGAACACTCCCTAACAGTGATCACTCTCTGACGCCAGCATGACCTCGGCACCACAGCCAGGCCAGGACACCATAAAAAATGAAAAGTACTGCCCAGCATCTCTCAGAAATACAGACACAAATATTCTCAACAAAATTTTAGCCAGCAGAAGACTCCAACACATCAAAAAATAGTAACAAATCACAATCAGCGCCATCCCTCACTGGCCCAGGGCCCTATGGGGGACAACACTGGAGACTCAGTGTTGGGATTGGCCTGGTCTGACCCCAAGACACGGAGGCAAAACACTAAAGACGTGGGGCAGAGCAGGAAGCTCCCGAGGGAGCACAAAGGATAGACTCCGGGACCACAGCGTGGCACCCCATCGGACCTGACTGGAGGACACGCTTAGAGTTCAAAAATCAGACCTTGATCTATTCACAGGTTTTTCTTTCTTTAAAAAAAATTTTTTTCTCTTTTAATCAATTTATTCTTTTATGGGTCAAAAAAAAATCACAATCAGTTGGTATTCACACCAGGAATGCAAAAGGGTGGGATGTTCAACATTAGAAAATCAAGCAAAGTAATTAACCATATAAATAAAAGAATCACTTGATCATCATAATCAACACAGAACAAGCATTTAACAAAATCTAGTATTTTTTCCTCATAAAAACTTTTGGCAAAATAAAACTAAAAGGGATATTCCTCCAATAAAAGGCAAATAGACAAAACCACAGCCAACATTGTTCTCTATGGAGAGAGACTGAAAAGGTTTCCCTGAAAAAATAGTGAACAAGAAAAACAAGGCCGCCCACTACCATCACTCTTAATTAATCAGCACTGGGCTGCAAGTCCTGGTGTTGCTGTTGCTGTTAAGTGCCATCGAGGCTATGGGAAGAAAAGGAGATGAAGGAAAACTGTGCCTATTAACGAATCACGGAGACCAACAGAGGAGTTCAGCAAAGTGGCTGGGTGTAAGATGAATGGACAAAGACCAGTGGGACTCCTTTGCAACCACAAGAACTCTGAAGAGGAAATCAAGAAAACAATAACATTGTTAACTGGCCCTAAAATGTTAACATACTCTGGTATGGATCTAGCCAGTGATCACTTTAATAAAAAGTTAAGAACAGATGGACTCATGG